AAAAAAAAAAAAAAAAAAAAAAAAAAAAAAGACCCAGTCTATGGGTCTTTTCTCTGAAGATGTCTCCTTACTTCCTACTGCTTAGGGATTTTTGGTAGAGATCATTTCTTCCAATGTCTCTGAACACACTTTGAAAACTGGTGGATTGTCTTCTGCTGTGAAACACTGCGTCTCCTCCCCTTCTTCCTGGGAGACTCAGCAGAGACCTGGCCACCCTGGTGAGGGACAGGGCCTCCTTCAAGGGGACCAAAGGAGCAGCAGAACCAGTGTGTGGGGTCAGGGCCTCCACAGGTCCAACACAAGCACTGCTCCCCGACCTCACGTTGGGGTGGCGCTCACTGACACTCAAATCACCGTCTGTCATCACAAGTGTCCCCAGACTTTGACCCCAGTCCCTGGCAAAACCAGCTCTGGGCCCCTCCAGTGGAGGGACATGGGGATCCGCAGGGACTACTAGTCTGTCTGTCCCTGCCCTCCACAGTGGAGTAGGGAGAACACGGCCGGCATCTGATCTAAGGATCCCTAAGGAGAAGGAACAGGCATTCTTAGTCCCCATAGTGGGGCCCCTGGGGCGTCGTGGACCACAGCATGTGGGTGTACAAGCCCCAGGGAGAACAGCTGGTGGCACTCCAAGATCACAGGTGCTAGGGACAGGAGCTGTCAGGGTCCACAGGACCTTGGAGAGGCTGAGCTACAGCAGCCCTGGGCACCACCACGGACAGTGGAGGGCATCAGGAAGATATTCCCCAAGAACACATGGTCACTGCTGAATCCAAACCCAAGCTCTGACTTTGGTCTGGCAGGCTCCTTCTCTCCACCCCCCACCTCTGGGGATTTGCACCGAATCCAGGCCCTGTGCACTTGAGCTACAACCCTAGCCCTTTTTATTCTTCGAGACAGAGTCTTGCTCAGTTGTCCAGTCTGGGCTCAAACTGGTGACCCTCCTGCCTCAGCCTCTCAGAGTGCTAGGATTCCAAGCACCACACCCAGCCTGCTCTGGGCCTCTGCTCCTGGCTTTGTGCTTCTCATGCTCCCGGGTGAGACCCGCATTTTCTAACATTAGGGCTGGAGAGGGGCTCTATGTTCCCCCAAATCAGCAAGAGCTGCCTGAGGCCTCTGTGGGGCTGATCTTCCCCGACAGCATCAGCTGAAGTCTGGCCATTGTCCCCAGAGTGGGGACCCCACACCCCTGCCCAGGCTTCACAGGCTGCCACTGCCTAGGGACACGGCCCTGTCACCGTGCCTCTAGGCAGAGCCCACGGGGTCCCTTGCAAATTCCTGCTCTCCCCTTTCACTTCCTCCTCTCACACTGAGCCCCAACAAAGCCCAAGAGCACTGAACTCTGGACTGCCTGGGTTCAAGTCCTGAAACCGCTGAAGAAGATCCTGCTGCTCCAGAACTAGCTCATCTGTGACCAGGCTGGCGTGTTTCTCAGGCCTGAGCCCCACTGCTGCGCCACCCTCTCCAGGTACAGAGGACACGGCTTCTTCCCAACTGTCACGGGGACAAATCGGCACGGGCAGGGGAAGCGGGACAGCATGAAACACAGCTGGGCAGGGGCGGCTGCCGAGTCCACCAAGGAGACGTTTCCCATCCGTAAATAAAACCGTGGAAGTCTAAAGATGCCCGGGATGGGCCTGGCAAACAAGCCAGAAAAAAAACCCTTCACTTCAGCAGAACTTCCTAGAGCAAAAGTCCAAAACACAACTCTGGGCGTGGTGAAGAGCAGGGCGCCTTGGCCACACCAACGCCACTGACCGGGGCACGCGGCGGGGCAGAGCTGGTTTCCTCCCAGGGAATGAATGACATCACCACAGAAGGCATTAAACCTACGCCTGAGTCACCAAGGGGACACAGTGTGAGGGGTACGGCCTCGTGCCCCATGCGGCCCCAGATCCCACTGCCACAGAGGCTCTGCTTGGGCTTCCCGTGGGAAAGTGTGAGCCCTGCAGCTTTTCTGGTTTATCTGTTTGCCTATTTGTTTTGTGCAATACTGGGTTTTTGTACTCGGCTCCATCCCTAGCCCTTTATTTTTAGACAGGGTCCCACTAAATCACTAAGTTGCCCAGCTGTGCTGGAACTGGGATCCTCCTGCCTCAGCTTCCCAGGCGTTGGGATTACAAGCGTGTGCCATTACATCTGGCCGGAATTACGGTTTTTAGCATGAGACAGGGAAACAATGGGTAACTGATCTTGGAAGGGTGACTGCACGGCCCAGGGTACAGTACATAGAAAACACCCAGTGAGGGTGGGCCTGTGGGAGGGAGGGAGATGTGTGGGGGCGGCCCAGGGCTGCTCAACTCTCCATGCACAGCCTCCCTGCCCCCGGCCAGTGCATACATGCATCATGCAGCAGCTCACTGCATCCTCTCCTAGGGGGGAAAAGGCAGGGTGTCCGAGAAAGCGGGCACGGAAGAGGAGGGCACTTACAGTTGCTCTAGAGAGGCAAGTCCCTTAAACGCTTGCCTGTCAATTGACTGGATCTCATTCTTGTACAAATAGCTGAAACAAGAAACACGGAAGAGGGTTAGCACACGCACCAGGCTGCCTTCCGCACGGAGAGGGGGAAATGGGCGGACACACGGAGACGCTTTTGAACTCACAACTGCGCCAGCGCAGGCAAACAGGATGCGGCAGCCCGGCGGCGAGTGGGAACGGCCGTCGTGGACCGTGGGCCGTGGGCCCTCCTACAGCCTGTAACCACTCACCACACCCCCCCCAGGGCCTGGAGGACTCAGAACCACTCCCCACATGTGTGTAGGAGACACTGAGTATAAGGTTACGCTGACAGGGTTCTAAACAATGGTGCAGAGACAGCAGGGAGCCTGGGGGGTGTCCTGAGCAACCCCCCAGAACCCCACTCATAAAGGCCCACGACGTGTTCGCATGGCTTGCAAAGTGAAAATTGACTTTACAGTTTTAAATGATGTATGTCCATCATCCGATGGGTTTAAAAAAATGCAGTATTTACACGCAATGGAGTATTACTCTGCCATAAAGAAGGATAAACTTTAGGACTGGGGATTTGGCTCAGTGGTGCCGCTGCCTCCCTTGAAAGCGCAAGGTACCAAGTTCAATCCCTGGTACCAAAAAAACCAAGCAAATACAACAACAGCAACAAAAACACGAGAAGGATAAACTTCAGTCATCTGTAGGAAAATGGATGCACCTTGAAACCGTAAGATTCAGTAAAATAAATCAAGATGCAATCACATGGTCTCTTACTCGAGAAACCCAAAGTACAGGATACTCCTAGTTTGGAGTCCATGAAAGTTTCACTTGATGAACACACTCATCTTTCCGTGTCTCGTGTACGGCTGGGCCTGCGCGCTATGGGGACAGCGGGGGGAGGGGGCATGGCAAGTGGAGCCTCATCTTCCTGGCCTGATGCACCTGTGCTGACCGTGGAGGGCAAGGACACTCAAGCCTGCCCATCACTTCCAAGAAGGCCGAGGGTTTACTGTATCGTAATGAACGTCCACAGGGACCCAGTTTAGCAGCCTGCTCTGCTCTCTACCTGCTGCGATCAATCTCAGTACTCGCCATGCAGATTTGCTGAGGTGACCTCATAGATCTGCGGGCCAGAACACATGCTGGCTGGGGCTCCCCGGATCTGCATTGTGGAACCCACAACACAGCCTGGCAGGAAGTTAGCTCTCCAGGCTGCTAGAGCCCCCCTGCTGCCCGTGTGACTGTATGTCAGAGTCAGCCTCCTTGTGCCTCTGTCTTCCCTGCTGCAAAATGGGACCACAGATCTCACACGAAGCTCCTATGCGGGGACACGCTGGGACAGTGAGAGCTGCTACTTTTTCCTCTGTGGAAGGTTCAGGCTGGAGGATGAGGGCTCCGTGACTACTTCTTAAAACAAAATGTCAGTAAGAACCTTGCTTTGCACAAGCTTGTAGAAACAGAGAGGAGGAGGAGAATCCTCCTGAAGAGGATGTGAAACAACAGATTTGCAGGGAATATCTGCTCATAGAGACTTCGGAGCAAGGTTGGTTTTCATAATGTTTTAAGAAGATTTCTAATAACAACTTGTAATTTTCTATTTGACCCCAGAATTGACCCTCTGGACTCCTGATTCTAGATAATCAATTTTGTCATCAGGAAACCTGAATCAAGGGGAAGACTGGTGCCCAGTCAGAAGTAAGTGAGGCCCTGGGGAATAAGGACTCCTCAACTTCTAAAAGTAGACTTCAGCCGGGTATGGTGGCGCACGCCTGTAATCCCAGCACTTGGGAGGCTGAGGCAGAAGGACTGCTGTGAGTTCAAGACCAGCCTGGGCTACATAGTGAGTTCTAGGTCAGTCTCAACTACAGAGTGAGACCCTGTCTCAAA